CATATTCTGGTTAGTATATGTTGTATTTTATGGTAAATTTTTCAATTAATAAGCATATGACTTCTTATCCCACAACACATTAAGACTACTGGAGAAGGTAGTAATCCTGAGACTTTTAAAAAAATCATGAAGATGACTGCTTGAAATGACTAAAGTAGGTCACAATGTAATATACCGATAATCAAGCTGAAACGTCATTTCCTCTTTGTATATTTTTAGATTATTGGAAGCACAATTTTTTATATCTAATTTTATTTTAATCAACTTTAAGATGACATTCTCTGTGAGTCAAGTGGATGCTGTGGTCATCTAGATTGTTCTGGAAAAAGAAGGGCAAACACATAACAACTCTGTACAATGCTTCCAACTCTTTTTTTTTTTTTCATGTATCTGGCAGCTTTTGTAACATATGTCTATAACACTATACCTCAGTTTACAGAAGTTTTTCTTCATGGTTAAAACATGGAGAACACATGTACACGTACATATTTCAGCAATGACCTACTGATCTGAGAGACATCTTGCTGCCAAATGAGTGTGTATTTTATTCTTGGTGTTTAAACATTTTGATCAGCATTATCATAGCCATTCTCAGAAGGCCAAATTGATATGGAATAATAAAATTTTTTCTCCAAACTTAATGGCAAGAAATCCAATAGCTTCTGAGTTTTTCCCTGTACATGGGGCAGATATTCTTAATACCTCATTTTAAGAATGTTATTATCTATTTGTTGGTGGATGAATGGTCTGTATTTTGATAAAGGTGTTTGGACTTGACACAAATAAGAGTCTCCTGTATGCACTCTGAAAATGGTCCAAATATCGAAAAGAACATTCCTACTAGCAATGTATTTCGTTACATTTGTATCACTTTATTATCTTCATTTATAGGTTCTTGTGTACACATAGGAAATAGTGGGAAAAAACAGACTGAATGTTCATCTTGGTGAGGTTACAATAGAAAAAGTGGAAAAGAGCATCCACTCTCAAAGATTGTAATGCAATAGATCATTTTATGAATGTGATATACACACCCTTTCCAGATATTTCTGGGCAGTGGATATGTAGCTCATTCCTCTCACAAGATATAGAATATGAGCAGCTTGAAGACATGATGAAATTTATATCATTTTTCAAGTAATATGTGCATAATCAGCTCTTCTTTCTCAATCTAACCCTCACAAATTTTAATACTATGAAAATAAAAATGCTATTGTTTTTTCTAACAATATATGTGCATACATATTTGTGTATCTATAATTTGGGGAAGATATAAAGGGATTGAAAACTCAGGTTTCCAATAGTACAAAAATCCTAGTCCCAATCATTTCCAAGGAAAAAAAAATAGTATCTGTCTTTTCACAAGAATTTCTACAAATGTGGTGTTTGGTATTTAATGAAACAGATAGGTAATAGATTTGGTAATCATATTTAAACTTTTAAAATACACTGATATATTCTGTATTTCATTTTTCTTAAAATAAAAGTTGATGTTCAAGTGAAAGGAGTTACTTAATATTAATATTAAACTGGTAGCTGAGTTATTGGATAGACAGAACTAAAAACAAATGGAGAGTTCAATCCATTTGGAGAACTGATATTAAACCAACAGAAAAATGAGTGCTACTAGACAGTGACTATTCTGATTCGGCATCCACTGTGATTTTCCTGTGTATCAGAAGCATGGAGTGAAATTTTAAATATCACAAGTGCATGCACAGACCATGAACTTTTGGTGCCATTTCTTGGTAATATATGATAATTATAACTCTGGGAATTTTCCATTAAAATTTTTGTTTTCAAGATTTTTCTGTAATTCATTTCTCTCCTTGTTTATTTTCCCATTCCCCTCTTATATGTAATTTTGTATAACAATGAGGGTCTACAGTAGATGGGGTAGAGAGAGAAGATGGGAGGGGAGGGGGAGGGATAGTAGAGGATAGGAAAGGTAGCAGAATACAACAGTTACTAATAGGGCATTATGTAAAAACGTGGATGTGTAACCGATGTGATTCTGCAATCTGTATTTGGAGTAAAATTGGGAGTTCATAACCAACTTGAATCTAATGTATGAAATATGATATGTCAAGAGCTTTGTAATGTTTTGAACAACCAATAAAAAAAAGATTTTTCTGTCTGTTATTAGATATAAGTGGTTCCCTTTATCAGATTAAGGAAGTTCCCTCTATTGTTAGTATGCTACATGTATTTTAATTTAAACATTTTTTTTTACTCTTTAAAAATATATTTATCTTTAGTTGATAAAAATGTATATATTTATGGTATAAATGTGATGTTTGATATATGTGTTCATTGTGGAATGATAAAATTAAGCTAATTGACATATATATTACCACATATTTATCATTTGTGTATATTGAGAAAATTTAAAACATACTCTCTAAGCAATTTTCAAGTGTACAGTATATTCTTAACTATCATAACCACTATGTGCAATAAGCATTTTGAGTTTTTGTATCTTTAGACCAACAAAATCTTCCCCACTGTATTATGTACCACATCCATTATTCAGCCACTGATAACTATTATTCTATTCTCCACTTGCATTAATTTAACTTTTTTAGATTCCACATAGAATGAGATTATGAAGAAACTGGTCTTTCTTATTTAACTTTATGTCCCACAGGCTCATGTCACAATTGTAGAATTTCATCTTTTAACAGGGTTTAATAGTATCCTAACGTGTATGTATAGCACAAATTTTAACTATTCACAAAATGATGAGACAATTAGGTTGAAATGACATTTTTTCAAAGACTTTTACTAAATATATTGAAATGGTCATAGTGTTTACCTTTTATTTTGTGAATAAGATAATTACATAGTTCAAGGTAACAATAAGACATTCTATTTGGGTATAATCTGCTAATCATAGAAAATAATGAAACAAAATAAAAAGAACAACATGGGTCTATTTTTTTTAAATCACAATGTCGAAAAAAGTGTGAAATAGGTAGTATTTTAATAAAATAATACTTTGTCAATTGCTTAAACATATAAAATCAATATTGACACTTATCTCTCAGAAATTATCACCTGGCACACACCTGTAATCTCAGCAACTCAGGAGGCTGAGGCACAGGATCAGGAGTTCAAAGCCAGCCTCAGCAATTTACCAAGGCCCTAAGCAACTCTAAATAATATATAAAAGGGGGGGGGGGGGATGTGGCTCCACAGTAAAGCACTCTTGGGTTCAATTCCTGGTACAAAAAAATTATCATATGATTATAGATATACATGTAGATAGCAAAACAAAAAAAATAACATTAGAAAATATCATCGTGATATTGGGGTTGACAAAGTTGTTTTTTGATAATGCATAAATAACATGTAGAAGGAACTGACATGTAAAGTGGACTTTATTAACATCAGAAATTTCTGCTAATCACAAGACATTAAGAAAGTGAAAAAGCAAACCATATGGTGTAAAAAGATGTTTACAATATTTATAATATCAAAGGCTGAGACAGAATGGATAAATAACACCCTAAAAATCAAGGGGAAAAAACATAAAATCCTAACTGAAAGTAGATCTTAAGTTCTTGAAGACGTACTTACAAAAAAAAAAATCACATTTAAACTGACAGTCAATACACAAAAAGACATTCAACGACATTAGTATTATATAAATAAATATTAGACCCCAAATTTTATACTATTAACCAAAGTACCTAAACTAAACAGACTGGTAATTCCAAGTGTTGATGAGGATGTGAGCAGATAGATTTCTTTTACATGGCTAATAGGTATCTAAGTTGGTTTACCATCAACATTAGAAACTGTAAGGCAGAGCACTTACTAAAGAATACATATATATATATATATATATATATATATATATATATATATATATAATCACTCAGTAATTCTACTCCAAGTTATTTGCACTAAAATACATGGGTTAAAATGTTCATATTAGCAGTATTCATAATAAACCCAAATTTAGGGTGTGAATTCACAAATGGGAAGAAGTTGATTCCAGGTGAGGAAGTCCTACAATGCTAATGCACTAAAGATAAAGCATATTGGTGTGTAGAAAGAGTGAGGAACTCACTATTACTTTAGTCACTAAGATGAGGTCAGATCACATAGGGCTAATCTCATGAGGTCAGCTTTACTCTGATTAAAGAAAAAAATAAAGATGACATAAGAAAAAGTAAATAGAACTACAGACCAATACCTCTAATGAACATAGACTCAAATCTATACAGGATGTTAATCAAATCCAAAAACAAATAAAAATATAATACATCAATCATATTTGGTTTTATTATTAGAAAGAAAGTTTGATTTAACATCTGTGCCTAAATGACACAGTTCATCTAATTAACATAATAAAAAACATAAATCCTGTGATTTATCAAAATTTAACATTTTTTCATGACAAAATATCTCAACAAACTAGAAATAAATTTCCTCAACATGGTTAAGTACATTAATGGAAAATCTGCTCCTAAAATCATTATCAATGATGAAATACTTAATGCTTTCTTCTTAAAATTAGCAACAAGGCAAAAAGACCTGCTTTCACCATTTTTAGTTAAACTTATTTTGGACATTGTAGACAGTGAAATACAACAGGAAATAATATAAAATATCTATAACTGACAGATCTATATGTTTATGGGTAAAGACCTACAGACCTATAGGAAAGGAAGAAGTAAAATGGCCCTAATATGCAGATAACCTGATCTACATATAGACATCCATCTGTAGTTTAGTATTAATAATCTAACTTAGTCTGCTATATAATTTTTAGTTGTGACTACTGTACAATGCCAATATTAGATGCTAACATTAGAATAAACTAGGGAAAAGATATATGAGATGTCTCTGTAATATCACCATGACTTTTCTGTAAATGTAAAATGCTCACAAAATATTATGTGCATTTAAAGTGAAAGCAGTATCATAAGAAATCAAAGAAATACAAATTAAAGCATGAGATACCACTTCATATCAATTAGCATGATTATATTTTAAAAAAAATTATTACATTATTAAATATTGGCAAGAATGTGGAACAACTGGAAATATTATGTATAATGGAGGAAGTGAAAATGTTATAGTCAATTTTAAAACATTGTGGCAATTTCTTATATAGTTAAACAACAGTTGACCATATTAAGGTAGAAGGACAATTTTACATTACCCACATCACCCTTTGCCCAATCCAGACAACATACTGCAAAGAGATATATGCTGTGATTGGGGAAAAGAGAGGAAAATAAGCAAAAGACTTTATCTAGAAATCCAACATTAGACTGTGAAGAAAAACTCAGAAATGAGAAGACTCTGCTGCGCGACCAGCACAGTAGATTCATACTAGAGGTCCTAAGCATAGAAGTTAACTAGTGAGATCAAAATAAAAACACATAAACTCAATTTACCTTTTTCTTTTTTAAACAAGAGACTAGCAGGAGAGAGGAAGGGTAAGCAGAGAGTGGCCTTTTATTGGGGAACAAGAAATTCAGGGGAAAATTCCATCCAATGAAGGTCGAGGGGGACAGCATTCCAAGGTCAGGGTCAGTGATTGTTCTCAGGCTCAATGGTCAGTCACAACCCCACAAGGATGGGCTCTCGCACCTAAAAAGGGTAGGGATAGGTTCTGACACAGCTTGGCCTGAATGCCTCACACCCAGTCAGGGAGGTGCCCAATCACTTGCTAGAATGGCTTCCCACAGAAGACTCCATCTCTATGTCCACAGACTGAGCCTTTAGACCCACCCTAAGGTTAGGTGGGGCTTTGTAGCCCCAGGCTTCAAGCCTTCAAGGTAGATTTAATTTCTAGTCAGCACCACTGAAAGGGTCAAAAGCCCTATGCTTCAGAACCAAGCCAGATTGCCTGCCCAGAATCTTTGGACAGGCTTTTTATTGAAGGTCTTTTTCGGACTAATATAGTCTATAAAGTCTGAAAGAAGTACCTACTTATTCCAACATGCAGACATTGATGCAATTGGTCAAGTATAACATCAGCAAGTAGATAAAATAAAGGACCAGAGACTAATCCTAAAGGAAAAGAAATGCATGAACTATCTAAAAGAATTAAAAATAATCATTTTTAAAAAGCTTAGCAAATTTCAAGAAAATACAAAGAAACAAATCAACAAAATTAGAAAATAATTTCTAGTGCAAGAAATTTAGAACAGTTTTAAATAATTTTTAAAAGTCACACAGAAATCCTGGAGCTGAAGGTCAGGTTGATGGAGGTGGCTAAGGAACAAAGCACTAAGCAACTTGTGGCAGAGAGAGAAACATCAATCAGGTGCTGACAGAACCCCCTATCAATCATCTGGGTTTCTTGGCCAATCCTGGATCTTAGCCAGCTCCCCCCACCAACCTCAGTAAGACAAGGGATTCTAAAAACCCTTTTTTCCTGTCCCAAGCCCTCCCTTTCTGCCATAAGCCCAATAAAAATCCCATTCCAGTGGAGCCCCAATGCCCTCTCCTCAGACCCACCCTGTTGGTCTGAGGGTCCCTCCAGCAGCCTTTATAAATCTTCCTCCTTTTGGTCTCTGCTGCCTGACTTTACACTGAAAAATAGAACAAACTAAACTAAAAATGGAATGGAAATATCAACAGCAGAAAAATGACACCATGTACTCCAAGATGGAGGAGAAAAGAAAGAATGAGAGTGAATGAAGAAAGTTTATGAAATTCATGGGAAAGAGTCCAAGAACATTTTGGAGTCATAGAAATTCAGAAAGAAGAAAAGACACATATGGGGCAGAAAGTTTATTTAAACAAACAATAGTAGACAACTTCCCAAACCTGGAGAAAGATATAAGTATCTAAGCACAGGAAGTTCAAATGTCTCCAATTAGAATCAGTCTAAATAAGACTACTGTTAGGTGTGTGGTGGCAACTTAGTGGCAACTTAGAACAAAGCAGCCCGAACAGGAAAAGAACATCAATCAGATGCCAGCAGAAATGCCTGTCAATCAGCCAGATCTCCTGACTAATGCCTGTCAATCAGCAGGACCCCGCTGGCCAAACCTGGAGTTCAGCCAACTCCCCTGACCAACTCCAAGGGGGTAAGGGACCCTAGAAACACCTTTTCCTGTCCCAAGCCCTTCCCTTCCTGCTGTAAGCCCCATCAAAGTCCAGTCCAGTCGAGCTTCCACTCGGTTTCTTCTCAGACCCTTCTTCTGTCCCCTCTATGGGTCTGATGGAGTTCCACCTGGGACTGATATCTCAATAAAGCCTGTTTAGCAGCCCTTTTAAATCTGCCTCATTTGGCAGCTGCCTGCCACACCTGATCTGTCAACTACCTCAACACATATTATAAGCAAACTCTCAAAGTCAAAGACAAATAGAGGATTCTAAACACAGCTGTAGAAAATAAACAAATAAAAAATAAGAGATTTTCAATATGGCTAACAACATATTTCTCTCTAGAAATCTTATAGGCTAGGAGAGAGTAGGATTAGGAATGTATATTCAAAATGTTAAAGGGGAACAACCTGCCAATAAAGAATAAGAATAGTATGAAAAACCAGCCTCTATCTCAGAGCAAAGCCTGTCCAAGGAAGGGACATGACTTTTGTCCTTGGAAAGACCCACAGAGCACTCCTAGGCACATTCCCACCCTGCTAAGTTGTTTATCTACAAATAACTGGAGAGATCTGCTTAGCCAGGTGTCCCTGACTCAGTCAGGCTAGGTGGGAACCCATAGCAACCCTCTAGCAGCCACCAATCAGCATGAGACAGGGAAATACCTGGGATGCCAGATGACCCTCCCAGTAGTTTTTGGTGTTGGGAAACCATGTAGTTCAGTAAAAACACCCCTCTTGGCTTAAACCAATCAGTTCAAATGAACCCCCTCTTGTAGTAACCAATCACCCCTACCCAACTTGTTCCTGCCAGTGAGTGTGCTAATCAAGTTTTAGAGTTGTTTTATGATTTTCCCACCGTGTGTGATGATTTGCTAAGAGATGCTACAATGTATGTGAAGCCCCTGCCTTCCCAAAAGAATGTATAAAACTGCTGCAAACCCCGGGCTCAGGGCCTCTCAGCGTCACCAGTTGCTGTGTGTGTGCATGGAGGACCAAGCTAGCTCGCAATAAACACCTCTTTGCTGTTTACATGGATCTTGGTCTCTGGTGGTCTTATGGGAGTCCCGAATTTGAGCATAACAGTTTCCCCAGCTAAGGAAATCATATCATGTTCTTCAGAAATGATAGAGAAAAGATACTTTTCAAAACAAATAAAAACAGAAACAAAAAACATACTTACATTACAAAATATGCTAAGGAAGGTTTTGAAGCTGAAAGAAAATGATACTAGTGAATAATAAAAAAAAATCTGAGAATATAAAACTCACTGATAAAAGTAAATATATACTCAAATTCAAAATATGATAGTAATATAATGTTGATATATAAATCTCCTATAACTTTACTGTCAAGTTTCAAATACAAAACTATTTTAAAAGCAATGCAATAATCTGTTAAATTGACAGTGTTTAAAGCAGCTTGAGAGATCCAACATGGCGGCGGGCATGAAGAGATCAAGTCTCTGACCTCTTCAGCTGCGCGGGCATAGGGAGTCCTAAACAGTCTAAATGCTGTTTGCTCAGGATCACTAGGCAATGCTGAGCTAACGTGGATCTGGGCCTCTGAGAACACAGACCGAGCCCGGATCGGCTGAATTCAAGCTCCCATTTGCCTGCGACTCACAGACAAACCACTGTGACTCACCAAATGATCCTGCAGAAACAACTGGTCGGCCCTTCTGAACTTGCGGAGGTTAATACCAACCCAGCCTTCATAGACAGTGGCCACAGGATTGAGATGGGGCTTGGGAGAGCCAGTCAGGACCCACCTGTTGCATTGGTCACCCGGCAAAGGGAACGAGGAACGAACTGTCGCCATTTGCATGGGATACCACCATGGCAGAGAACTGACATCACCAGAATGCCGCGGAGGAGATAACTTCATTGAAACCGGCAGCGACAGGTGTGTAACCCCATAACCCTCCCTCTCCACATAGCAGGGAAACCTTAAGGGCCCCTCCCAGCTCTCCCATAAGGGCCCCTCCCAGCTCTCCTGTGAGCGCAATAGTGAGATGGATGTGGTTGGGACCACAGAATTTCAAGTGAGATGTCATTATGGAGTGCCACAGGGCATAGAAAAATCCAGTGGCCCAAATGGTGATAGCCATCTGGGTGCAGAGCTGCGGATTCATGATGACAGTGTAATGAAGTGGTTTGCAGATAGCTACAAAGTGGTCAAATGCCATCACTGCCAGCAACATGGCCTCTGTGCTACCCAGGAAGTGGAAGAAATGAAGTTGGCTTATGCATCCCATGAAAGACATTGCTTTGTGTGTAGAGAGGAAGTTCTCCAGCATCTTTGGCAGTGTCACTGTGGAGTAGCAGATATATAGACATGACAGGTTTCCCAGGAAGAAATGCATAGGTGAGTGGAGTCTAGGATCAGAGATGACAATCATCAGGATAGCTCCATTCCCAGCCACATTCACAAGGTAGATTGTGAGGAAAACAGCAAAAAGAAAAGGCTGTTGGTCTTGTATGTCTGTTAATCCCAGGAGGAGAAATTCAATGACTGAAGTCTGATTCAACATCACTTAAAAGAAAAGAAGAAGTAATTTTGAAACATTATTCCTAATGAGGATCAGTCTTTCTAACTGATGATTTTCTTGCTAAGACAAAAAAATTTGAGGGAGATTGTGGTAGTTTTGCATGAAACCCTGCCTCAGATCTTGTGTAGTATTTAAATGTTTAGGCTACATGTGTTGTGGATCAGTCATTTTTAAAATCGGATTTGTCATTAATATTTTTCTTTCTCTTAGGGATTTAGAGCAGGTTTTCAGTCTACCATCTTTTCTAGCTATGAACATCTACATTCCAAAACAACTTCCTTTTCATCTCCTAAGTCAGCTGCATGAGGTGGTAATTTCTTCTACCACCTTCTTCTACCATCTTACTGAGTGAGAAGCAACCTGAAGAATTTTACTTAAGAAAAATAGCCAGGGATGGAATTATTGCATCATAAATTTCTTAAATAAATGAAAAATCCTTAAAACAGGGGCAATAATTTTTCTGTAGTAAAAGGGGCTAGGGCTGTTCTCTCATCTCTTTCTAATTGACATTCTTGGAAAAGTCACAGAGCCCTATTTGAGTAGGAAATGAAATCACACTAATCATTTTTAATATAGGTATATTTGAAATTTTATCACTGCTATATCCAATTATGGGCTTAGTTTTTTCTATAATTTGAGCCTTGTATTTTCTCAAGTAGGATCTGAAATCACTTTTTTTTATGAAAAATGTTTTTCTCTTGTCTAGTTGCCCTGAGATTCTTTTTTAAGATGCCCAAATCCCTGGATCAACTTTCTTCCTCCTATGAGTTAAAGTTTCCCCCTTACATTACTTAATGCTATCTTCTTAAGTATCTATTCCTTTAATCCTTTAAAATCCTGTCTTCTTTTTGACACATTTTAAGTCTCATTTTATTTTGCCTGAAATAAATTCAGTCCTCAGGAACAGACTATCAAAGAATATTCTACCTCAAGTGGAAATCACCTCCTTGACTTTTGGTTCCTTTAATGCATCACCAGCAGTTATATTGTTTTTCATGACACCAGAAGTCTGTCTGCTTTGTATCAGCTCTCTGCAAAGTTGTCACAAATTTCCAGATCTCCTCAATTGCAAAAATGTTTTCTATCTGTTCTTTCTTTCCATTAAATAAAATTCTTGTCTTCTATTAAAGAAATGCATTAATTTTCATTTCTTTTGCAGAATTGAAATAGCATTTACTTTGGGAATGCTGAGACTTTTGAGGAATTGTAATTATTAATTATGAGATTTGGTATTTGACTACATTGTTCACTGAGAAAACTCTTGAATTATTTATCCTATAATGTTTGTAATGTACCTGGTGTTATCTCAATTATCTACACTGAGAAAAGCAGACAAAATTCCAAGTAGCTCTTGGTTCCCCTTTAACAGGTACAGTGAGTTAACTTTCTAATTAGGAAGGGAGGAGAAAGGACATGTGGGGAACTTGTAGATGGGGGAGAAAGTGAGAGAAGAAAAAGAACTACAAGGAAATCTGAAAAGAGATGCAGACATTAAGGTGTTTTCTAAAAAAGGACAATCTGTTGAGGTTTGAACAGTCACAGAGGAAAGAAGAAGCTGAGTAAAAATGTGAATGAACTAGGGACTCCTTCCTGGGAACCTCTGGGACTTTTGGCTTTATTTTGGAGAAGATTTTGGGAAATTAACATCTATTATACCTCCAGGAAGAGTTGTCTTCCAATAATTCAGAATAACTTTATTAATAGCCATTCACATGGTGTATAGTTCAAAAATTTTATCACCCTTTCAAATAAACAAGTGATCTGCGAAACAAAAATCTTGCTTCTCTGACCCAATAAAATTGCATCAAAAATCTGTTTGATGACAGATTATGCTAAGTGAAGCTAGCCAATCCCTACAAAACAAATGCCAAATGTCTTCTTTGATATAATGAGAGCAACTAAGAACAGAGCAGGGAGGAAGAGCAGAAGGAAAAGATTAACATTAAACAGAGACATGAGGTGGGAGGGAAAGGGAGAGAAAAGGGAAATTGCATGGAAATGGAAGGAGACTCTCAGGGTTATACAAAATTACATATAAGAGGTTGTGAGAGGCATGGGGGAAAAAAAAACAAGGAGAGAAATGAATTACAGTAGATGGGGTAGAGAGAGAAGATGGGAGGGGGAGGGGAGGGGAGATAGTAGAGGATAGGAAAGGTAGCAGAATACAACAGTTACTAATATGGCATTATGTAAAAATGTGGATGTGTAACCGATGTGATTCTGCAATCTGTATTTGGGGTAAAAATGGAAGTTCATAACCCACTTGAATCTAATGTATGAAATATGATATGTTAAGAGCTTTGTAATGTTCCGAACAACCAATAAAAAAAACAATAAGAAACAATTAAAAAAAAATCTGTTAAATTATATTCAATATACAAGGATGTAAATTGCAACATCAAAATTCAAAATGTGGCATATGTAGGGGATAAAATATGGTTTTGCTTTTTGTAATCAAAGTTAACTTGTTACCAGTTTAAAAAAAAAATAGGATGTGTTTTGTGAGCCTTGTTGTAACCACAAAGGGAAAACCTAAAGTACACACACACACACACACACATACAAAAAGCAAAAAAGCAAAACTTACCATTAGAGAAATATCACTTAACCACAAAGAGAAAAAGTAATAGAGGGGAAAAAAAAGACAGGATCTATAAAACAACTGGGAAACAATTAATAAAATGGCAGTTGTTAGCACAAAAGCACGTGAACTTCCTAGATTAGCTCAGCACAGCTTTTATTCGGGAACAGAGTAAGGCCTCTCCCATTTTCCTGGTGGAAAATGAGCCATACACCAAAGGGGGAGATTAGGCTTATATAGGCTACACTGAGAGGTGACTTAATAATTTAACAGTTTGAGCTATCTTTACTGGGCCAGGTGGAGGGTGCAGGGTCATTAGTCAGTAACTGGGAAATAATTTGTTTAGGGTGGGATCAATGTTTTGGCCTCTTCCTAGAAGCAGTTATTTTAGGCTTGATCCTCCCCCAGGGCCTGCTTTGTCACTAGGAAACATTGTATTGGGAAAAATCAAAGTATTGTATTCTCCCTCATTCATTCTCCCTGGGTCACTTTATTTTAGGGTTTGTCACTTTCCATATCCAAGAGCAGTAGTAAGACCTTACCTACTAATAATTACCTTGAATATAAATATATTAAATTATTCAATAAAAACATAAACTGATTGAATGGATACAAACAAAATAAGATAGACCCAGCTATATGCTTCCCATAAAAGGCTCACTTTACCAATAAGAATACCTATAGATTGAATGTAAATGACTAGTAAAAGATAGTTCTTGAAAAATGAAAACCAAAAAAGAGATGGCATAGCTATATTTAAATAATATAAAATAGATTTTAATTCAGAAGCTGTAAATAAAGGGACAAAGAAAAATATTATTTAATGTTAAATAAGTCAATTCATCAAGAAAACAACAATTTTAAATACACATACATTCAACATCAGAGCTCCTAAATATATAAAGCAAATACTAGCAGATGTGAATGAAAAGACAGACTGCAATACAATAAGAGTAGAAACCTCAGTATCCCATGTTCAGAAATGAATAAATTATCCAGAAAGAAAATCAATAAGAAAACATTGGACTTAAATCATACTATAGATAAAATGGACCTAACAGATACACTTAGAATACTCCTGCCAACAGCTACAAAATACACATTCTTCTTTTTCTGATCATGATGGTATAAAACTAGAAATTAATTGTAGGAAAAACTTTGGAAAATTCACAAATATGTATCACTCCTGAACAACCAATAAGTCAATGAAGATAATAAAAGGAAAATTGAAAAAAAAATGTTTGAGACAAAAACAGAAACACAACATATCAAAATCTACAGGAGATACAAAAAGCAGTTCTAAGAGGGACATTTATAACAATAAATAGCTATATCAAATAAAGAAGTCCATTAATTTTTTTTTTAAAATGTTTGGCTATTATGTTTCTACAACTTTTGATATAGTATCATCAGTTGGATTTATTCCGAATAATGACTGAGTAAGAACATTTGAACACCTTGTATCAGACAGAAGCACTGTACAAGTACAGAAGAGTACTATCTCAGATGTATATTAAAATATTGGTATCTTAAATACAATACAATGCAAATACAATTAGGAGAATATATCTCAAGTATTTGTTTGACTGACTTTAATAACCAAGTAGACCATTTATATTATTAATTCGTTATTAATTTGTTATTTGAATAGCACTATGATAAAAATTAAATATAAATATGAGGTGGCATTTTGGTTAGTTTAAAAATCTTTATTTTAAAAATAACAGTGATTTGACATTAGTTTCCATTAGTTTTTCAATAAAGAAATATCATGCTTAAGGTTGGGGAGATATTAAATTTTGAATGACATTGCTGTTGTAAACTCATTTTCCTGACAATTTGTTTGATTTGAAATGTTTTTTCCTCTCTTTAGTTTAGTCTATTTAGTGAGTCGTTAAGAACACTGATTTCAAATTATTTGATTTAGAGGCTTTGGCAGGCAAATCAAAGATGATGAGTGTGAGAATCTAGGAATCCAGTTTTACATTAAGGAATATTTTAAGTACACATTTTAAAGTCAAAACTCTGTAGGATGACATATTAAGATCATCTTTAATATACAAATTTCTTTTCTACTGATATTCTTGGTCCTATAATGGATATACATTTAAAAAGTCCAAATGATAGCACAAAGGAAGAGAGTGTTATCTTTAGAACTACTTATATTCATATTGGAGCAAACACAAAATGCACAGAGAAAATTCCAACAAAAGTCTAAAAACCTCTCAACCCTGCATCTTTTCTAAAAGGAAATATAATTAATAGAAATAGTAGAATCCTCAAATAAACATGCACAACCATGCACATACACACACTCTCCAAATAAATTAGATTCAAAGTCCTTGTCACTTTTCACCTGGCAGGAACTGAATTCCCCAAATCTGTTTACCCAATAGAAATGACCTAATTATCCAAACAAACAAATCAAAACTCAAAATCCACCACCAACATAGGTAAATAAGCTATGAAAAATCAAATTTCAATGAAAAACTAATCTGGTAAATAATCAAATATGGCGTGTAAAAGTAAAAAAAAAAAAAAAAAAAAAAAAAAAAAATTCCACCAGGACACAGGACAATAGCCAAGGTAGGGAGGGAGGTGGTTAAGTGAAGGATCCTCCTGGATCCTCCTGCACAGTGCGTACTAGGTGCACTTATAGAAAACATTTCTCTTGATCCAAGGATAAGATCCAGATCACAATATCTTACTGGATTTTCAGGAATAAATTCC